TTTCCGCTGCTTGTAGGTGCAGAAACCACCACCGATAAACCCTTCAGAAATGCTTCTACCGCCAATCTCTACCGAAAAATAGCAAAATCAAACATTAACCAAAAAGAGAAAACCTAACCAGTTCAATAAACTTAAAACAATTATGGAAGACACCAAACCTGAAATTTGTCGATGCGAAAATTGTAAATTGCTGAGAGTGAATCGACATCAATCATTTCTCTGCCGAATTCCTTGACTAGATTGCAGAGCTTCTCGACTCGCTGCCACGTCGATTCCTTGTGCCGGTCTGCTGAATCCACCGAAATTCCAGTTTCATCTTCATCATCACTCCGGAGAATCTGGAGAACATCGTCCACCTCTTCATCTGAAACGTATTCGTATTCATCCGCAACCTCGTAATCTTCGTCATCGTCTTCCTCCTCATCCTCGACGTCAGAGAGCTGAGACTCCACCGGGAAGGGAGAGCACGGAGACTTGAAGGAAACTTGAAATGGAAGAGAAGAGAGAATGGATTGGCGGCTAAAAAAGCCCAGGGACTGAGGTAGCGCGTGTAGACGAGGGACGGCGGCGCGTTTGCTTGTGGAGAAGAGAGGCGTAGATGAGAGGATGTAGAGGCTGCTCATGGCGGGAGACAGGAAGAGATTAGATTGTCATCTCAAAATTTAGCCACTGAAAAATCAAAAAATATCAAAATTATGCCTACAATTAATATATTTTTCATGATTTTCATTATTTCTAAGGCTAAATCTCACTAAAAATCCTTAAATTTTACTAAAAAAATTCATTATTATCGGTTTACTGAAAAACAATTCATAAGCGTCCCTTAACATTGGAAAAAAGAGCAGCGCTAGAGGCACTCGCCTTCTGCACTCTCCGGCCAGCACTCCTCCGTTCATTGGGCCACGTTATTTAAGTCCGCAAGAGGTTGCACTCCAGAGCTTAAACAAACTTACGTGGCCCAGTGAAAGGGGGAGTGTTGGCCGGAGAGTGCAGGAGGCGAGTGCCCCTAGCACTGCTCTTGGAAAAAAAACAAAACAAAAGCCGAGCTCAGTCCCTCAGATTACGGATCTTGTCACTCCGTTAGTTCTTCAGTTAAAATCTTTGTTTAGTTCCACAGCACTCCTACATGGCTTACTGATGTAGCACCAAACAAACTCTCCCTGTCAAAGAACAAAATTCTCTTCAATTATATAATATTCTTTCTTTATATAGTCTATCCATTTTTTAATTTATTAATAATATTTTAATTTTTTTACTATCTTTTTAATGGTAATAATGTTTAAATCTTAATTATTTATTTTTTTCTATTTAATTTTAGTTGGTTTATTTTTTTAATAAAATAAATATATAATAATTCATTAATAAAATTTTATTTTTACATATTCCTAATTGATTATGATCTAAACAAGCATACTTAGTGGAATGTGTGTTGTAATTATTTTTTAAAATTAAAGTAAAATATGAAATTTTAATTAACAATAATTATGTTTCATGAATTTTTGTAATTTTCTCTATAATTATACCGAGTAAAAATGTAACAAATCTAACAAACTAGAGGTAATAATTTAGTGAATTATAATTTACATTAAATAAGTTTAAGTAATTCTTAAAAATTTATTTATAATTCTACCCTTTAATCCTTATTGTGTAAAAAGATTAAAAATGTATTTTCAATGCCCGGTAAGATGTGTTAATGCCATGTTAAGTTTTTATTAGCACTGTTAGTGCCATGTCAATACTCTCGTTAACTGATGCCAACATAAGGACAACTGGACGACTGGACAACAGTTGGCCTCTGCACAAAAATTGAGGGATTATTGTATAATTTTTTTAGTATAAGGATGATAATTACTTCTTTTACAAAGTACGGGAATATTTAACCACATTAAGCAAATACGACTCTTTTAATTTTTTTGTTTTTTTGAGAAAAAATTTGTCCTTACTGGGCTGATCAGTTAGGCCGCAAAAAAAATCTTGTCGGGCCAACAGTAGAGCCCAACTCGGTAGGCAGTTGCCATCCAATGTCTCCGTACATTTATCTAATACGCTACTGCAAGTTGGCGGATGCTGACGGTCAAAAAAAAAAATCCACGAGGAGGAAGCTACTCTTGAGTTTAGTTTTGTTGTTGTGTCAGTAGCTGAACTCAGTTTCACGTGCATCGCCTACCCTATTAGAAAAATGAAGATGCCCGAGTATGACTGGTAAGCTGCGCCCGCCATCTGCTCATCAGTTTCGTTATTTCTTTGCGCTAAAATGTAAACAATCAGAAGTCAAAACACTTTTTTTTGGAAAAGTCAGAAACTAGAAAAATACTTCGCAATGAAAATCCAGTTACATATATTATAAAAACTTATAAATTGTATTAATATATT